GCAGAAATGAACCTTATATTTGTTATAATTAATTTTATTAATATTGTTATTAATTTAACTTAAAAAATTATGCCTTCACAGTCACTAAAGCTTAGATAGGAATTTATCGAAAGCAAATTCACTATTGAGAAAATTGCCACAATGTAGTCCTATCAATTTATAGAAGCTTTTATGCTTGCTTCTAGTTCATATTGCAACAGTATAAAATTAAAAACAAAATTTATACTGTAACAAGTACAAAAAGAAAGTCTGTATTCCTGTTGTGCTTTAAAGTATCACTTTATTAACTAACTGCAGAGAGCGCTTGGCAGCGTATTTTGCCAATGGTAATTCTGGAAATGAGCTCCCTAAAGTCCTCATCTTTATAATTTATTTGAGATAGCATTTGCTGCCAGTTTTCAGTGACTCCATTGATACTTGCAGTTTGGCAGTATCATTGAGCTTTAAACAACAGGATTTATAACTGGTATATGACATCTCTTGTAGACGCATGGCAACAGTACTGGATGACTAGGTCTTCTGTGGCTTTTCTGAAAAAAGTAATCTGTTTTGCATTTGTAGTTTTTTCCTCCCTTGCTGCTTGTCGGTAGTTATTGGTTAGCTATTATAAAACGTCATGAACATAGCACTACATAACTTTTTTTGTATAATGTTGAGGCTTTGAACCATTAGTGTGAAGGGATGAGTAGAAGTTTAGATTCAAAGGTGGTAGAATGTTCTTTCTAGGAGCAGAGTATTTTACCCTAATTTAAAATACTAGTGTTTTATTTGGGGATAAAGGAACGAAAGAATAGTTAAATCAGAATTTGTCCTAACATTAAATTCAGACCCAGTTGGTACTGGATTGCACCAGCATCTTCCTGTGCTGCCTTATGTAGTATCTATGTAGTGGTATTATTTTGCGTTTTCTCAGAGCCTTATGACTTTGAAGCGATCTTGGTCTCATTCTCACTAAGAACATTCTCATCTGCTCTGTGAACTATCTGGGATAGCTATTTGAATGCAGGACTAGTTATCTTAGTGTGTTTTAGCACTGGGGCTGCTAACTATCTAACTCTCTTCTAGTTTGCTGGCCTAGACCTGAACTCTTCAGATAATCAGACTGGAGGAAGTACAGCCAGCAGTAAGTAATACATTTTATGGACTTATTGAGTATTAGAGCTTAATATCTCAATATTTCCATGAATGTACTTAAAATTTAAGAATTTGTTCTTCAACTTTATGCATAGAATTATGTAGATTTGGTGTTATGTAGTACTTAGTGATCAATCTGAAGCATTATGACCTTTCTGGTAATAAAAGGGTTGGTTCTTTTGAATAACAGCAGTTAATCATTAAGAAGAACCTTATAGAATACATAAATTATTCCTAGATTTTGATTATGTCTTATGAATTGTGAGCCCAGTTATTTTGAAGGTGGTAGGGATGTGTTCATTCCTGTTGGAATGAATTGATCAGAATTAAACTCAGTTAAGGAAACATGCATTTTCATCAGCTACTGATGATCCTTTCTCTTGAAGAACATGGGACTTACTAATAGAACAGATTATATTGAATTTGGGGGTGATGGCTAGGATTTTTAAAAAAAATTTTTTTAGTTGTAGATGGACACAATACCTTTATTTTATTTTTTTAAATGTGGTGCTGAGGATCAAACTCATTGCCTCATACATACAAGAGCAGCACTCTACCACTGAGCCACAAACCCAGCCCGATGGCTAGGATTTTTAAATGTGATTTTTTAAAATTTAATTTTTTAAACAGACAAAAATAGGGTACAACGTGATATTTCCATAAGTATACATTGTGAACTCTGGCAAAAGATTTTATTTTCTTTTATACAAAGGGGTTATTTGGGGATTGTCAGAGGTTAGTATTAATGTAATTTGCCATGCTGGGCATCTTAGGACTTGCTCTTCCTAATAGAGAGCTTTTTAAAGAAGTGAAAAAGACAAATTGTAGGTGTACTAGTAATAAAGCAAGTTGTGGGCCTGGATTGTAACTCAGTGGTAGAGTGTTCGACAAACGTTTGTGATGCTCTGGATTCCATCCCCAGCACTGAAAAAATAAAAAGAACAATAAGAAACAAAACAAGTTGACTTACCTTTACTTGGATATACATAATTTGCTTTTGCTTTTAATCCATAATCTGGGCTGTTTTCCTCCCTGCATATAGAATAACAATTGACTTAAAACTCAGCAAGCCCTAAATTAAAACTTCCAATTTCTTGCTATCTTTCCTTTGCAACTTTTTCATGTATATTTAATGTATGTATTGGAACTTAATGGTACAGAAACAAAAGCTTCTTAGAGGCTAATCATATGATTTATTACGTAGTAGTAGTCTTTTATAACAAATTAGGTTATTTAACTACTAGTAGCTAGTTAAATGCATTTGATTTGTGGGTTTCATCTATTAGGTTTCGAGTCAAAGTTCTAGTTAGGTGTGGTGGTACGTGCCTATAATCCCAGAGGCTCAGGAGGCCAAGGCAAGAGGATCCCAGTTTCAAGGCCAGCCTCAGCAACTTAGTGAGACACTGTCTCAAAATAAATAAAAAAATTAGTAAGAGGCTGGGGGTGTGGCTCAGTGGTTAAGTGCCTCTGAGTTCAATCCCTGCTCCTCCCCCAAATCTTATGAAGCTATAACCCATTTAAAATAAGATTTATGTTTTTCCCTCTCGGTTTCCAGGCAAGTAGGCGGACTAGGAATCTAGAGATTTTTAGCAGGGGGAACAGTTTTATTAGAAATTTTGGTAAAAGCTCTAATGTAAAAGTTTTTGGCATTAATTTTATATTGTTTCTTTTAGAAGGGCGCTATATTCCTCCTCATTTAAGGAACAGAGAAGCTGCTAAAGGTAAGTCCTTAACACCAACATTGTAGAGATAATTCTTCATTTAGAAATTAGTCAAAGCTAGGGAAAATGAGGCAACTTTGAAGTCTGTAAACATTGTGTTTCTAACAGGACTTCTTCAGATATTAGGATTTAGGAGAAAAAAATCTTATCTAGCTGGCTGTCACGTCACATGGTAGGCTGAGCCGGGAGGATCACAAGTTTGATGCCAGCCAGGGCAACTTAGTGTGACCCTGTTTAAAATTTAAAAAAATAAAATAAAGGCTGGGGATATAGCTCGGAGGTAGAATGCTTGTTTGCCATACACAAGCTCCTGGGTTCTATCCCCAGAACCCACTCCACAAGAATGGAGAGAGAAGAAAAACTGCATCTAATATCAAACAGTGGAGAATTTTCCTATGTTAGACTTTCTAAGGCTAAGAGTATGGTTTTTGTGCAATATTCTTGTGCACAATTTGTAGTAATTCGCAGTATAGTTTTCATTAGAAAAAGGTGAGCAGATAGTCTACTATGTAAACCAAACTGCACAGTATAACAACCTAGTTGTCTTGAAGATGACCCTGTTGTAGACTAGTTAATAGTGTTGGTCACACTTCAGTGAATTGGGAATAATTTTCTGGTTTCATCTACTTAACTGCCTCATTTGAAAGGTTTTGTGCAAAGTGTAATATAACATCTAATGTCTTTTCCCATTACCTGTGTGATGTGGTGATAGATAATTAATAGATGTTTCATATTGTGGGTGCCATGTGTTGCATACAATGGACAATAATGAAATTCAGAGGAAAATGATCAAGAGGGAAGGGAGATAATGAGATAAAGAAGGCAGGTAACTGGGATGGACCTTAATGTATATTTATTGCTTTTCCCCCTTTGTTGCAGTGATAGGAAATCAGAAACAATATCAGAGATTTTAGAATGAGAAATTGAATTCAGATCTTGATTGTTAGCAAAAGTACCTGGCTGGCTAATGGTAGAGGTGGGAGGCAGAAGGAAAAAGTAACTTAACTCATCAGTTGTCTCTGTTTAAAAGGGTATCATTGAAGATAGTTAAATCCTCTGTCTTTGAACCTTCTACCTGTCATTGGTAGGGCTAATTTATACCTTTGTGAGACCCTCTTACTTGAATTTTTATATCTGTCCACACTGAGAATGAATAGGGAAGAGTTCTCCTTTTCCAAATATTTCTGATTCACATCAAGTTTATGATAGGTGAACCATTAAAATGGTATCATGACACTAGTATGTTCAATGTGTATACAAAGCACTGATCTTCTTACTATTGAAATTGAAAGATAATATTAAACCAAATAATCTGTCATGCTAAGAATGTTTTACATGAATACATTTTACATGAAACATTGAAACAATGGCAGCTATTTCATCAAACTCATTCAAACATATGAAGTAATAGAAATTAAAACGTGATGGTTATGTATTTGGCAAAACTATAACCATTGTATTATAGGTAAAGCTGTTGGCCTTTTAGAGGTGGTATTCATTCAGAACATTCTTAGATTGTCAGATTAATCACTTGATTTAGTGTGTAATATTTTCTAGTGGAAAGAATTGGATTTTTTAATATTTAAAATCTCCAAAAACAGTTGTAATTCTTGATTCTCTTCTAATGACATGATAGGAATATATCCACAGAAAAAAGGTCAGTGGGGGGCTTCAAATGAAGAAAGACTACTGGGTTTGGTGGTACATGCCTGCAATCCCAGCTACTTAGGCTGAGGCAGGAGGAACACAAGTTTGAGGCCAGCCTTGTCAACTTAACATAACTTTATCCTGTCTCAAAAGGGCTAGGGATGTAGCTCTGTGGTAGAGTGCCTCTGGGATTGAGTACCCCACCACCAACAACAAAAAAACAAAACAGAAAGATTGACAATACTTTAATATGATTCTTCTAATACAGTGTTTGTACCTTTTTAATTTTATTTTATTTATTTAAGGATTCTACGACAAAGACAGTTCAGGGTGGAGTTCCAGTAAGGATAAGGATGCGTACAGCAGTTTTGGATCTCGAAGTGATTCTAGAGGGAAGTCTAGTTTCTTCAGTGATCGTGGCAGTGGATCAAGGGGAAGGTAAGTGGTTGGGTTTTTTTCTTTTTTTCTTTTTTTTTTTTTGTCACCTTATGTGCATATGCAATAGCAATTTAGGGATTGATCTTTAATTTGGTAATTCCTCATCCCGACTGCCTATTTGGATGTTAAGCATTATCTGTTTAATCATTGTATTTCTTAGCTATAAAAGGTCTTTAATAAATGAACTTGTTACATAGAACTTAAATGGAAATATGAATATGCTTGCTCTTTGGCATCATAAAGTCAGTTATTTTTTGTTTCTCTAGTTTTACATATTCTAATATAATGGCCTAACCTAATTTGGTTTGAGATTTTTGTGGACTCTATATGACAATTTTTAAACACCTTATATTTTTGATTATGCAAGTGTGGTGAACTGACCCCATGCGCCTAATAGCTGTGGTTAGTCCTGTGTCCTGATTTTTCGCAAACAGGCCTAAATCCCTAAAAACATCTTAATTCAGGTAAGGATATTTTTCTACCTTTTATCCAAAATTTGTCACACAGGTGAATTGTCCTTTAAATGATATCCTATTATAACCTGGACAATTGATATTTAGTGTGCTATTTTCTTTTTTCCTACCACTAAGTATATTTGGATCCAAGAGCAGTTTAAATGAAGATGTGAGCTATGTGCCAATTTTAAACATATAAAACTTGATTTTTTAATGTTGGAATGTATGAGGCATCATTATAATCTGTATGACTTTACAAGAATAGTGATTTTAGGAAATATATAAATGATACATATACAATTTGGCAATTAGTAAGCCTTGTCAAATAAGAAGCAGCAAGAATTAGACTGTTGACATCCTTGTAGTTGGCCATAATGAATAATATTCACCTATCTCTAGATAATAGCATTCAGGAGTAGTGGTGGAGATCTGATAATAGCTAAATGATGTGATTCTGATTAATTGCTTGTGCTATTTAGGTTTGATGATCGTGGACGGAGTGACTATGATGGCATTGGCAGCCGTGGAGACAGAAGTGGCTTTGGCAAATTTGAACGTGGTGGCAATAGTCGCTGGTGTGACAAATCAGATGAAGATGACTGGTCAAAGCCGCTCCCACCAAGTGAACGCTTGGAACAGTAAGTTTTAAAATTGTCTGCTAATTATGATGAAGCTTATTAGCTAGTGTAGTAGGTAAACTTACCAGTCTCTTTGATTTTTAGGGAGCTCTTTTCTGGAGGTAACACTGGGATTAACTTTGAGAAATATGATGACATTCCAGTTGAGGCAACAGGCAACAACTGTCCTCCACATATTGAAAGTGTAAGTATTTTTGTTTGACCTTTTAAGACAGAGGGGGTTGTAACTTTCCACGGCACATCAGAATGAGATGGGCTTCTCATATGTAGATCAGATACCTCATTGGTTTGTGAAAAGGGAGCAGATGATCTAAGTCGATGGTGATTTCCATTATTATATAAAACAGAATGTCTCTAGATAATGTGTTTTTAGCTATTTAACTCTATTCCATTTCCTAACAGTTCAGTGATGTGGAGATGGGAGAAATTATCATGGGAAATATTGAGCTTACTCGTTATACTCGCCCAACTCCAGTGCAAAAGCATGCTATTCCTATTATCAAAGAGAAAAGAGACTTGATGGCTTGTGCCCAAACAGGTAAGGCCACTTGATAAGAGTGAAACATTTGCCAGGCTTTTTCTGTAAAGAGCCAAATAGTAATTTGTGTGGGTTTTTGTTTTTTTGTTTGGTACCCCAGGGCCTTACTTAGGCTAGGCAAGTTCTCTTCCAATGAGCTTAAATCTACATCCTCAGCCCTTTTTATTTTTATTTTTTTTGTGGTCTGGGGACTGAACCCAGGGCCTTCTGCATGGGAGGCAAGTACTCTACCCAACTGAGCTATATCCCCAGCCCCCTTTTGATTTTGAAACAGGGTCTTGCTCAGTTGGCCAGGCAGGCCTGGAACTCTTGAGCCTTCTGCCTCAGCCCTCTGAGTAGCTGGGATTACAGGTGTATACCACTGTGCCTGGCTTATATTTGTGGGTTTTCTTTTGTGGGTCATGTGGTCATTGATGCAGCTACCCAGCTCTACTGTTTTATGAAAGAAGCCATTAGATGACTTTTATTTATAAAAGTGAATAGGCTTGACCTGAATTTTGGTGACTTTAATGGATATGCTTTTTCTTAATAGGGTCTGGAAAAACTGCAGCGTTTCTTTTGCCCATCTTGAGTCAGATCTATTCAGATGGTCCAGGAGAGGCTTTACGGGCCATGAAGGTAAATCTTTTTTTTCATTGGTATAAGATACTTGGTACCCAGGGCCTTGGCAGTACTGGGGCAAGTACCTTACCCTCAGACAGGTATTACTGTATAAAATGGAAAATTGTTGTAGAATTTTGTAGCTATTGCAAGAGCTTTCTCGATGATGCTAAGATTCTATCTAGTCTACTAAGGAATGTTTTCCAAGTTTCAAAGGAAAATTATGTTGTGATGAACTTTTTAAGTGTTAAGTTCAACTTATAGATTAACTGTTTTTATTTCTTAGGAGAATGGAAGGTATGGGCGCCGCAAACAATACCCAATCTCCTTGGTATTGGCACCAACAAGAGAGCTGGCAGTACAGATTTATGAGGAAGCCCGAAAAGTATGTGCTTCAATGATTGCTTTTTCACTGATTCTAACAAAACATTTATGATCATGTGAAAAAATCTTGACCTTGAAATAAAATTTTTTTGCTTACAGTTCTCATACCGATCAAGGGTTCGACCTTGTGTGGTTTATGGTGGTGCTGATATTGGTCAGCAGATTCGAGACTTAGAGCGTGGGTGCCACTTGTTAGTAGCTACTCCAGGACGTCTTGTGGACATGATGGAAAGAGGAAAGATTGGATTAGACTTCTGCAAGTATGTTAATTTTTAATAATGACAATTACTTTTTTAAAAATTTTTTTTAGAGAGGTAAAGAGGATTTTTTTTTAATATTTATATTTTAGTTATCAGCAGGCACAACATCTTTGTATGTGGTGCTGAGGATCGAACCCGGGCTGCACGCATTCCGCTTGAGCCACATTCCCAGCCCCATGACAATTACTTTTGTGATACTGTCTAATTTAAATCTATTTTTTTGGTGCTGGCAATTGAACCCAGGGCCCAGCACATGCCAGACAAGTGCCCTGCCACTGAGCTACAGCCCTAGCCCTCTGAATTTAAAGATTAAGAAGTGATTTATTGTAGTTCTTTTTTAAGAAAAAGTTTGTGCATCATAATTTTAATGTTGAAAAATTAGTCACCATTTTAGTAGAGGCTTAGGATGACCAGACCAACAGATATCCAAGTAGGAAAAACTAATTTGGCACTGATCTCGGATGACATTATACCTAATGGGAAGAATCTTGTGCCACATTATGCAGTATAAGGAATTTAACTACCTTAATGTATAATTGTAATTATCGTATAGCTGTACTAAAACTGTCTTTTGATTTCTTGATAAATTGTAAACTAAATTTTCTTTTGTGACAGATACTTGGTGTTAGATGAAGCTGACCGGATGTTGGATATGGGGTTTGAACCTCAAATCCGTAGAATAGTTGAACAAGATACTATGCCTCCAAAAGGTGTCCGCCACACTATGATGTTTAGTGCTACTTTTCCTAAGGAAATACAGGTACCATATGATGTTGCAAATATTATTTATTTAGAAATTTATCTTGGTAGATACTTAAAAAAATGTTTTTTGTTTTATTTTTCAGATGCTAGCTCGTGATTTCTTGGATGAGTATATCTTTTTGGCTGTAGGAAGAGTTGGCTCTACTTCTGAGAATATCACACAGAAAGTAGTCTGGGTGGAAGAACCAGACAAACGGTCATTTCTGCTTGACCTCTTAAATGCAACAGGTAAAATTATAATGAGAATCCATTTGGATTGTCTTTATTACCTTTCCTTTTGATTTATTCTATATTAAAACAGTCCATTTCAGTTGCCTCTTTGCGTGTTTACTAAGTATAAAGAATTAAGCTGTTTTTAGTGACATAAACCTTGTAATTTTTCAAATTCAGGCAAGGATTCACTGACCTTAGTGTTTGTGGAGACTAAAAAAGGTGCAGATTCTCTGGAGGATTTCTTATATCATGAAGGATATGCTTGCACCAGTATCCATGGAGACCGTTCTCAAAGAGATAGGGAAGAGGCTCTTCATCAGTTCCGTTCAGGAAAAAGCCCAATTCTAGTGGCTACGGCAGTATGTATAATACTATCGTTTTCATTCAAGCTCAGCATGTTTAATGCTTTCTTTTAAATGGGCCATATATAACAGAAGTTATTTTTTAGGTAGCAGCAAGAGGATTAGATATTTCAAATGTGAAACATGTTATCAATTTTGATTTACCAAGTGATATTGAGGAATATGTGCATCGCATAGGCCGTACAGGACGTGTAGGAAACCTTGGTAAGTGGTTCCTGAATGGTCTGATTGTTTGGACTGGGGATGTAGCTCAGTAGTAAAGTACTCCTGAGTTCATCCTCAGTACCCAAAAGAAAAAAAAGGAAAAAACCCTTGGGCCACTTTGTGGAAGACCTTTGTTTATGTACTTTTTTGGGATCTATTCTAGGCCTTGCCACCTCATTCTTTAATGAGAGAAACATAAATATTACTAAGGATTTGTTGGATCTTCTTGTTGAAGCTAAACAAGAAGTGCCGTCTTGGTTAGAAAACATGGCTTTTGAACACCACTACAAGGGTAGCAGTCGTGGACGTTCTAAGAGGTAAGGTATCGGTGGTACATAATGAGGGGGGAAAAGTGTTTGCACTTCCCAGTGCCATTTGCTCTGGGTAGGTAATGTCCAGAGTTAACTTTTTGGTATTTAATTTTAAAAGCTCAATTTTCTTAGGCTGCCTCAATTGCATAGGTAAGACTATTAGGTGTCAGTCCTTCACTGTGAAGGACTTCACAGCCACGTTGGGTGGTGAAGTGTGGCTGCCTGGGGAATTGTTTGAAAGGAAAACTCAGAAACTGTTGGAAAGTTGGAGCAGGAGTTGAGTTACTTAGAAATTTTGTTTTCATGTGAAGCAACAATTTTTTTTCCCTTTGTAGCAGTAGATTCAGTGGAGGGTTTGGTGCCAGAGACTACCGTCAAAGCAGCGGTGCCAGCAGTTCCAGCTTCAGCAGCAGCCGTGCAAGTAGCAGTCGCAGCGGCGGAGGCGGCCATGGTAGCAGCAGAGGATTTGGTGGAGGTAGTGTTCATTTTTAACCTGTCCTTTTTCAAAGCATCATTAAGCCCCTCGGGGGAAGTTCAACACTGTAGATTGCTTTTTGTAACTTGACTTGAGAATAGTTAAAGATTGGAAGGATTGTATTTAATGATGGATGACTTAATTAATTTTTCTCTCTTTTAAATCTCTCATTAGGTGGCTATGGAGGCTTTTACAACAGTGATGGATATGGAGGAAATTATAACTCCCAGGGGGTTGACTGGTGGGGTAACTGAGCCTACTTTGCAGTAGGTCACCCTGCCAAACAAGCTAATATGGAAACCACATGTAACTTAGCCAGACTATACCTTGTGTAGCTTCAAGAACTCGCAGTACATTACCAGCTGTGATTCTCCACTGAAATTTTTTTTTTAAGGGAGCTCAAGGTCACAAGAAGAAATGAAAGGAACAATCAGCAGCCCTGTTCGGAAGGTGGTTTGAAGACTTCATTGCTGTAGTTTGGATTAACTCCCCTCCCGCCTATCCCCATCCCAAACTGCATTTATAATTTTGTGACTGAGGATCATTTGTTTGTTAATGTACTGTGCCTTTAACTTTAGACAACTTTTTATTTTGATGTCCTGTTGGCTCAGTAATGCTCAAGATATCAATTGTTTTGACAAAATAAATTTACTGAACTTGGGCTAAAATCAAACCTTGGCACACAGGTGTGATACAACTTAACAGGAATCATCGATTCATCCATAAATATTATAAGGAAAAAACTTAAGCGGTAGCCTGCATTAGGGCTTTTTGATACTTGCAGATTGGGGGAAAACAAACAACAAACGTCTTGAAGCATATCAATGGAATTAGTTTCTAATGTGGCAAACTGTATTAAGTTAAAGTTCTGATTTGCTCACTCTATCCTGGATAGGTATTTAGAACCTGATAGTCTTTAAACAAGCCATTCCAGTCATGATGAGGTGATGTATGAATACATGCATACATTCAAAAGCACTGTTTTCAAAGTTAATGCAAGTAAATACAGCAATTCCTCTTTCAATGTTTAGGCAGATCATTAATTATGAGCTAGCCAAATGTGGGCATACCATTACAGGGAAAGTTTAAAGGTCTGATAACTTGAAATAGGTTTTTAGGAGAATTCATCTACTTAGACTTTTTAAATGCCTGCCATAAATGAAATTGAAATGGTAGAATGGCTGACCACAGCAATGACCAGCCCTCATTAGGGCCCTGGATGATTTTTGGTCTAATAACGCATGCTAGTGTTGATGTTTTTTGGTCAAGAGGGTATGAACAGGAAGAATTATGCAGCAGGCTTTATTTTAAATGCCGATTCACATTACTCTGTTCAAGCTGCGTTGAGATGTTAAACTGGCTTACTATAGACTTTGTAAAAATGGCTCCAGAAGAGTAACAAACTGAAATCTTTGAGATCACACAGGTTGGAAATATGTACATAACTGCACAAGGTGTCGATCCTGCTCTACAGTGCAGTTTAGTCAGTTTTAGTTGCATAGGTTTCCATTGTATTTATAGTCTGTTTATGCTAAATCTGGCCAAAGATGAGCATTGTCCACCACTAAAATGCCTCTGCCACTTTGAATTCTGGGCTAATTTTTGTGGCCAGAATGCGGTGATCAAAACGCTCAATCTTTTTACAGTGGCATAGGAAGACGGCAAAAATTTCCTAAAGTGCAATAGATTTTCAAGTGTATTGTGCCTTGTTCTAAAACTTTTATTAAGTAGGTGCACTTGACAGTATTGAGGTCATTTGTTATGGTGCTATTTCAATTAGTCTAGGTTTAGGCCCTTGTACATTTTGCCCATAACTTTTTACAAAGTACTTCTTTTATTGCACATTCAGAGAATTTTATATATATGTCTTGTGTGCGTGTCCTTAAAACTTCCAATCTTATTTTGTCTCTTGGAGATTGTTGAACGCAGCTTGTCTAGGAAGGGGATGGGACTAGATTCTAAAATTTATTTGGGACCATGGGAGTGATAGCTGGGAAGAAAACTATTTGCACACGACAGATTTCTAGATACTTTTTGCTGCTAGTTTTATGTAATATTTATTGAACATTTTGACAAATATTTATTTTTGTAAGCCTAAAAGTGATTCTTTGAAAGTTTAAAGAAACTTGACCAAAAGACAGTACAAAAACACTGGCACTTGAATGTTGAATGTCACCGTATGCGTGAAATTATATATTTCGGGGTAGTGTGAGCTTTTAATGTTAAGTCATATTAAACTCTTAAGTCAAATTAAGCAGACCCGGCATTGGCAGTGTAGCCATAACTTTCTGATGTTAGTAAAAACAAAATTGGCGACTTGAAATTAAATCATGCCAAGGTTTTGATACACTTGTCTTAAGATATTAATGAAACACTTCAAAACACTGATATGAAGTGTCCAGATTCTCAGATGTTTGTTGTGTGAGTTTTGTTTAGTTGTGTGTATTTTTTTTTTTCAGTGAATGTCTGGCACATTGCAATCCTCAAACATGTGGTTATCTTTGTTGTATTGGCATAATCAGTGACTTGTACATTCAGCGATAGCATTTGAGCAAGTTTTATCAGCAAGCAATATTTTCAGTTAATAAAAAGTTTTGAAAATCATGTAAGAATGGATTTAAACTTGCTGAATGTAAAGATTGAACCTCAAGTCACTGTAGCTTTAGTAATTGCTTATTGTATTAGTTTAGATGCTAGCACTGCATGTGCTGTGCATATTCTGATTTTATTAAAATAAAAAATTGAACTGCACAGTCTCCTTTGTTGTTGTCAATTGTGGTTTATTTTTAGAGGTGAAAATAAAGTTGTGCTTTTGCCTGAAGAGTTGGAAAATGTGTTTTTGATTGTCCATTACTGTATTTTAGAGATGTCTCATAATTACTCCCATAAATCATATAAGATGAAGATCATTTTCCAAATACAATGAATAGATGGAAATCTAATTGTATTGCAAACTAGTTTATACTTGAAGCAACAATATGGGTGAGAGCCTGTTCTTTGAAGGGTGGTTGTACTAGTGTATAAGAATGGATTGGGTTATCTATTTAGGGCTCAAGGATATGGGGGGGGATCTGTGATAGGAGACCTACATTGTCACACAACTGCTGCAGACATTACTATAGGTTAATGAGATGGTGTGAGCCGTAACTGTAGATTTTGAACTACAGGAAACTGCTGAGTGGTGTGTTGAAGACAACACTTGGTTCTGGGTAGTTGGCCATTTTCACAGTTGTGATCTCAAAAGAGCAGGCCTAAGTTTATTTTGTGGAACCCAGGGATTCTACCACTGAGCTACATCCCTACCCCTTTTTGAGACAGGGTCTCCCCACATGGCCCAGGCCTACTTTTAAAATAAAAAGAGATTTTTTTTTTTTTAAAGGTAGGAGAGAGAATTTTAATTATTTTTTTATTTTATTGGTGGACACAACATTTTTGTGGTGCTGAGGATCGAACCCGGGCCGCACGCATGCCAGGCGACACGCTACCGCTTGAGCCACATCCCCAGCCCCCCAGGCTGGTCTTGAACTTGTTTGGGCTTAAATTTTTCAGGCAGAATTTGGGTGCATGATAGGCCATTTTGTTTTTGTAAAGTAGTCAAAATAATGTGAAAAGATTAAGAATTGTTTAAATGAGAAGCCTGTGGCAGAAGGGGACTGGAGTTCTAAAGAGCCGGTTCATGTAAATATGAGTTCTTTATCTGCTATGGGGAACTACTTAAATGTCCAGTTATTTGAGATTTCTAGTGTAGCAGGGTTAGAATTATGGAAGTTGAAGTTCCTTAGATTTTACACGCTACATTTCCATTTTGGTTTTAACTATAGGTACATACTATTATCTGCTGCAGTTAATGTTTCCTGGGTTCTTTTTCATCTGGGTTGAATTTCAACTCTGGATTTTTTTTTCTTAAATGGCTTATATAGGAACTGGGTTCTTACATGTTTGAAAATGTCTAATGTCTTTATGCTTAAACAGTATACACTTAATGTGTTTTCCTCTGCTTTAAGCGACCTGCTTAAATGGGCACAGGTTCGTTCTTTGAAGTTGAATGACTAACACATTGGTGGTTGCCAATGGTCTCGCCCCCACTTTCCTCAGGAATAATGCAGAGGTTTCATTCACTGCAGACAGCGCTTTGAAGTTTTTTTAAAGGATATTTTGGGCTTTTTTTTTTTTTTTTCTGTTCCTATTCCATTCTGTTTTCATTGAACACAATTCTGGGTCTGGTCAAACTTGCTTTGCTTCATATCTTGCCCTCCTTTCAGTTTATGATCTATTTCTCAGCATGTTTAGTGTCTATTGTGGAAGGGTATTCTGTGGCTTGGGAAGATGTTTATTTTGGGAGAAAATGTAAAAGATCAATTTCAAAGCAGGAAATGTCTCAATGAGTTTAAATATAGAATTACCATATGACTCAGTAATTCCGCTCCTAGGAGAATGCTACCCAGGAGAAACGAAAATGCCAGTCTATAATTTAGATTTTGTATATGAATGTTTATGGTATTATTCACAACAGCCCCAAAGTGGAAATAAATACCCACTTGAATAGGTGAACAAGATGTATACTCTGAAAGTGGAATACTGTTCAATACAAACCCTTCTGGGGGACCAAACGGTGTTTCCAGTTTCTTCCCTCTGTTCAAAACGTTGTTAGTGGGCCTACCAGAACTGAGACACACGGATGCTAAGATTTTCATGGCTACATCTGCTAAATACAATAAAATCAGGACTGAAACAGTTCTCATTTAGCCGATAGTCACGGTTTGTAATGTGGGGTGGTGGTTAGGATGTTAGAGAGAAATGCCTGCTGCAAATCCTCCATTCTTCCCTTCTTTTTTCACTCTTCTATAATCCACCATCTACTGTCTGTGGATTATCTTTCAGTGCAAGGAGGTTAATTTGGGGTCCAGTCACTCAACCCACTTGGTGTCTGAGTACTGGCCATTGACAAGGGAGTGATGAATTCCGATCACTCCTTGCCCTCTTGGAGCCTGATTGTCCTTGTGTGCTTGTCAACTTGGTATTGTAACAAGTACCTGGGAAGTGATTCTAGAACGGTTGTCCTAACAGATCCCCCTCTGGGGCTTATTTGGAAATCTTTGTGTTGGGTATTTGCCTGTGTTTCTAAAGCTTCCCAGGCAATCCTGATGCAGCAAACTTAGGTATGGAGTCCTGTGTTTTCTATCCTTTAATCGTCTCTTTCAAACTTCCAATTGCCATTAGTATGTTTTTGTGTCTTCCTGGCAGAAGCATCTCTATATTCCAAATTATAACAGATTAAGGGCATTCTATTAATTGGTCCCTATGGTGGGTATTAATCTACCATTACAGCTCCCCGTGCCCCTGTCTTGCTAATGCCAAGAACATGCTTTACCACTGAACTATAAACAGCCTTTTTCAAAAATGTTTTAGTTTTAATTTTATGTACCAGGGATCGAACCCAGAGGTACTTAACCACTGAAGTATTGACCACATCCCCAGTCCTTTTCTAAAATTTTGAGACATGTTCTCACTAAGTTGCTGAGGTTGGCCTCCAATTTGTGATCCTCCTGCCTCAGTCTCCTGAGTCAGATTACAGGCGTGTCCACCAGGCCTTGCTTTTTTTGGTGGTGGTGGTGGTGCTGAGGATTGAACCCAAAGCCTCACACATGCTAGGCAAGGGCTCCACTCCTGAGCTACATCTCTAGCCCTTAAATTTTTTATTTTTGAGACAGGGTGTTGCTAAGTTGCCCAGGCTGGCCTCTACTTTGTGATCCTCCAGCTTCAGCCTCCCAAGTAGCTGGTATGATGTGCACCACTGCATCTGGCTATCATTGCACCTTTAACTTCTTTCCCATATATGTAGCTGAATGTGATGTTATTGTTCAGACACAACTGTGCTTATTTCTACCTCTGCATTAGTTTTTGCTCACCATGTTCCTTCTAACTAGAATTGGAGCTAAGTATTCAAAAATAATTTTATTTTATATATACTATGCTCAGAATATTAAGCTGCTATTTCCATTTTACTATATACAGAAAATACTTGCTCTCACAGAACTGTTCTGTCATCACAAAAATCTTTTGCTAGCCTCCTTCGCCACCTGTCTATCCTATCCTTAACTCCTGGCAACCCACTCATCCATGTAACATCTCGAAACCATCATTGTCAACTTGTTTTATTATGGAATTGTGCAGCGTATAAGGTCATTCCTTTTTATTATTGAGTACTGTGGATGCTTTCCCTAATTTCCAAGTTCAGCAGATGAAGGATATTTGGCTTGTTTTCTTTATTTTTTAAAAAATTAGTTCTTAAATTTATTTTTTTAAATCAGTTGTTCTTAGGGTGTATTTTTTTGTTTGTTTATTTTTGGTGCTGGGGATTGAACTCAGGGGCACTCAACCACTGAACCCCATTCCTGGCCCTATTTTGTATTTTATTTAGAGATAGGGTTTCACTGAATTGCTTAGCACCTTGGTTTTGCTGAGGCTGGCTTTGAACTCGCAATCCTCCTGTCTGAGCCTCCCAAGCAGCTGGGGTTACTGTCGTGAACCACTGTGCCTGGGCTGAGGATCAAACCCAGTGCCTCCCATGTGTAGGCAATCTCTCTACCACTGAGCCACAACCCCAGCCCCTTGTACCTAGTTTTTGACTTTTATAAATAATACTGCATGTATATGAACCTATGATACAAGTCTTTCTGTGAACTTAGGAGTTCAATTGTTGAGTCACATGATACATGTTTACTTTTTTTGTTGTTGTATTAGGGATTGAACCCAGGGGCGCTTAACCACTGAGCCACATCCAGCCCTTTTTGTATTTTTTTAGGGACAGGGTCTCATTGAGTTGCTTAGGGCCTCACTAACTTGCTGAGGCTGGCTTTGAACTTGCAATCTTCCTGCCTCAATCTCCTGAGCTGCTGGGATTACAGGCGAGTGCAGAAGCCATCTTCCTGAACAACTATGAAAACTTATGAAGGCATTTCTATTCTGAGTTGGAAGAAACTTTTGGAAAGTTCCTATCTGAGATGGAGGCAGAGGCTTCTCAACAGTCAATTAAGTAATATAGCAACTGGACAGCAAATGCAATCTTAAGCTGATAACAAACTTGGAAAAAAACATACCTTTTCAGTTGCATCTTCTTAAAACTCATCATTTAAAGAGTACTTTGGGGATCTTACTTGAATATGAATTTGCAAGTCTTCCTTTTCACACAGGGAACAGAAGGAGCTGCCATATGCAATTCTCAATCTTCTTTATAAGGATTTTGAAGAAATCTACAGCATTGGGCTGGGGATGTGGCTCAAATGGTAGTGTGCTCGCCTGGCATGCATGCAGCCCGGGTTCCATCCTTAGCACCACATACCAACAAAGATGTTGTGTCCACCAAGAACTAAAAAATAAATATTGAAAATTCAAAAAGGGAAAAAAAGAGAAATCTACAGCATTAGGAGGATTCCTTATATAAAAGAGAATGTGGAAGGCCAGGATATAGCTCAGTGGTCCAGTGGTCCAGTGCTTGCCTAGCATGTGTGACTCCCTGGGTTCTATCCCTAACACCCTGTCCCGCCCCCCAAAATATCTGTGGGTCAAGTTTATCTCAGATATCAGTAGCACAGTGAGCTTTTTATCTTTTTCTTCTTTTGCTTTTGGTCTCTTATCTTTTTGGGAGCTGGGGATGGAGCCCAGGGCTTCGCATATGCAAAGCAAAACATTTTACCATGAGCTACATCCCCGTTTTCAGTGTCACCCCGGGAAAATAGTATGTGTTTCCTTTGGC